TCTTTCCCTCCCCATTCCTTCTCTTTCTCTGCTCTTTATTTGTACCCTGGACCCCTTACTCCATTTATCTGAAGTGGGTTGTGCCTCATGATACCCTCTACATTTTTTGTTGTCTCTAAAGTGCTGCAAAACTGTCAATTGTTTTTTAGGTTTTTTTCAGTTACAAACATGGCTACCCCTCTGAGTCTGTCAATTAAGTAAAAGCTGAATTGAAAACAACAAACAACAACAAAACACTTATCAGATGAGCCAGATGTCAGTGAGTGCCATTGTTAAAAATGAAACTATAAAAAAAAGCAAGTATGCTCTAAATATCCATGCCACTAGCCATAACCTACACCCCCTAGTGAAAATCTCTTCTACACATCAGCAAGGATCCTATCATAGACAATGACCTCTCCGACCTTAGGAGGCAGGCCAGTCCTTTCTTATAGACAGTCCCCCAACTTGAGATAAATACTGACCAACAAGTTCACACCCCATAAGATAAACACTAATCCAGGAATCTATTCCTGCAACAAACCCCATGGTCAGCTCTGTCCTCACATCTACCCTAGTGACACCATCAAAGGACTTAACTTAATCAGCCATAAGATAAACACTAATCCAGGAATCTATTCCTGCAACAAACCCCATGGTCAGCTCTGTCCTCACATCTACCCTAGTGACACCATCAAAGGACTTAACTTAATCAGCTATACCATCTAAGGCTCATTCATGTGCACATCTATACTGCAATATATGCTTTCATCAGCTATACCATCAAAGGCTCATTCACGTGCACATCTATACTGCAATATATGACACCATGTGTCAACAATACCCTTCTGCAATGTACATTGGACAAAACGGACAGTCTCTAATAAATGGACACAAATCAGACTAAGAACGGCAACATATAAAAACCCGCAGAAGAGCGCTTTAAACTCCATGGACACACAATTTCAGACTTGCAAGATGCCATTCTCTAGCAAAAAAACTTCCAAAACAGACTGCAACAGGAAGCTGCTGAGCTGGAATTCATATGCAAATTTGACACCCTAAACCAAGATTTAAATTGAGTGGTTCTGCCATTACAATAGGTAATTTTCTAATCAGGTACTCTCACCTTCTCATTGCTGTTGGAGATAAATCCACTCTGAGTTAATTAGCAATGTCATCACACTGCCTTCTTTGTTATCCTTTTTTTTACCTTTTTTTCTTCACCATCTGATGAAGTGAGTTGTAACTCACAGAAGCTTATTCTCTAATACCTTAATAAATTCATTAAAGTGCCACCAGATTCCTTGTTCCTTTTGCTGAAACTGAGTAACTCTACTACCTCTCTGAAGCATTTTATATTTGCATCTGTTGGATGCAGATATCCATGGACCATCTTTGTGGATCGCAAACGGATGAAGATTCAAATTATATATCTAAAGCCCTTCAAATCTGATATCTGCAGATCATTTTAGGGGATTGCAGCTCAGATGCGTATCTATGCAGGGCTTTTCTATGTCTGACCTGCCGTGTCACACAACATCTGTGCCTAATTTTCCCTAAGGTGGAGATGATGCTTACCTGGCTCACATTGGTGTCATGAAAATCAATGTTTTGAAAACACTAAATCAACAGTTTATGTATTGTTTATCATCCAATCCATTTTATAAGCTGAGGGGAATTTCCACCATAACAATTAATTCTAATTGAATCTGTAAAATAAAGATTTATGTCAACTTCCCAACCTGCCCCAAGTATTTCTTACTAAATTTTTGCATTTCTTCCACTTCCTCAACTGCATCTGCTTCCTTGCTGTCTTCCATATCTTGTTCATGCAGAAGATTTCTCACTCGAGGCTGGCTCCACTCTGTGGCAGAACTGTTATAACTATGTGGAAATAATTAATCTTAATGAGGATACGCATGACATTGCAGCTCATCCAAAAGGGAAAAGAGCAGAAAGGAATAAAATGAGACTAATTTACATTTCTGAATTTATTTTATAACACAAAAGCAATCTGGACTTTTTTAAATATGCTGTTGATTATTCTGTGATATGACAGTCAAAACAAATCAAGGGTTTAATAAGGTAAAATAGCTATTGCAGTGCAACTAACACAAAAAGTACACTTACCACCGCCACCACTACTACAGTACTCGCGTAGCACTAAGAAGGATCACATAAGCCTGTGTGTTCTCTTGAAGTCTACAACACTGAATTAGAACAACTACACTGACCTCCAATGAACAAAGAAATCAAAGCATCTAAGACAGATCATCTGACTTTGATTTATTCCCCAAGATGGGCGAACATAAGGTAGACTCTGAATAAGAAGCTTGCAGCCATTTTTGGAGGAAGTGTTAAGGAAAAAGATGCTAACTATTGATAAAAGGGATAAAACATTTGCAATCTCCTGCTATATAGTCTTGACAATCCACAAAAATATAAATAAGCCAAGTTCAAGACTAATCATTTAAATATGCACACGTCAATTATTGCACTAACTACTCATTTGGTTACACAGCCAAGTAACTAGATGCATATATTTTCAAAACGTAATTTGGGCAGCAAGCTTTGAAAATATGATCTGGTATTTTATTGAAATCCTATTAAACTATCAAATACATTGTCTATATTTTTCTCTTAATCTTTGCTGATTACTAAAATGTGTGGCTATGAACAAAAAAAACTCTTTTTCCAACCAGACTCTCACAGCAATGAATGAATCTGGCAATAAAAACAATCTAGTTTACTTGATATAATCCAATCCTCAAAGAGACGGAAGTCACCAGCATTGGACTGTGGCTTCCATTCGTGAACCAGGAAAGTGGAGCAGGCTACTTGGAAGCTATCATTCTGACTGCAGCACATATTCAGAAGTAAACCTGCGGACATTTTTACTATGGGCCTTGAACTTTTTGCAAAATTAAACATCTTAGTTTTTCTATCACTGATACCATTTAATACCAGCTCGAATTCTCTATCTACTCCTAGGGGACAAGTGCTATGAAGAACCTCCACTTTGGCAGAAAATCTCAACTAAGCACTATTCGACCATCTTCTTGCACTGTAATAACTAAGTTGGTCTTAAGTCACAATTTGTATTATTTTGGTGCAAGTCTGTATGTGGACACTAATAACAAAATGTGTGCGTTAAAACTAGCCTAGTTGTTTCAGGATCAGTTTGTATGTAAACCTGCTTTAAGCCCCTGCGCTGCCAACTCAGACTAGAATCTCAAGAAGTTCATTTGAGTTCCTCAGCCTCTTGTGTCACCAACAATAGTCAGAACTTAGTTTTATTCTATTCTATTTATATATCATCTCTTGTGTCACCAACAATAGTCAGAACTTAGTTTTATTCTATTCTGCATAGGTTTATATATCACCCTCATTACCGTGGTATCTGAGCGACTTAAAAATTCAGCCAATAGTGCATAAGCAGGAAATGAACCAAACCACTCTCTCTAGCTGCGTTGGCTCTCCGGGGCTTAATACAATTAGCTATTGGACAACACAGCTCTACTATTATATAGACCATTTGTAAAGTAGCATCACACGGGTACTAGAGCCAATTGTCATACACTGTATTATATAGACCATTTGTAAAGTAGCATCACACACAGAGCCAATTGTCATACACTAACAAATGTATTGCAAATTATAGCACTGGACAACACAATTATATTGACTGCACCATGATTTTGAATAGATCAGTATTAGACCTTGCATTGATTCCTGGAGGATCCCACTAACTACACCTTTACTGTTTGACAGAGGACTGTTGAGAACCACTCTTTGAATACGGTCTTTCAACTAGTTGTGTACACACCTTATAGTAATTTCATCTAGAGCACGTTTCCTTAGTTTGCTTATGATACAGTCCCACATGACATTCTCACAAGTCTTACTGAAATCAAGATATCTCATGTCTACTGCTTCCCTCATTCAGGAAACCAGTAAGATTGTCAAAGAAATTAGGTTGGTTTAGAATGATTTGTTTTTGATAAATCCATGATGGCTATGCTTTATAGCTCTCCTAGAAAATTTACCCGGCATTGCTCGGGTCCTTCAGACCAGGGGGCTGGTGGTGTGGACAGTGCAGAAGTCAGGACAGGGCAGTGGGGGTGGAGGCTCAGGGTAGAGGTGCAGGAGTCAGGACAGGGGGCTAGGAAGTATGGGGGGCTCAGAGTAGGAGGTGGCCACTCCGCAATGTAACTGTCCCCTGCACTTGCTGCCCCATTAGTCATTTTGGAGCGCAGATGTTCCTGCTCTCAGCTTCCTTTCTTTCTGTGTTATGGAAACAATCAAGTTCCAAGCACATCGCATTTTTCCTGGGTCAACCAACCCCTGACCTAGCTTAAAGTTAGGATAAGAGGAAGCTGCATATCAAATCTGGTGGTCCTAGCCCTGACCATTTAGGAGAGTTCTCGATCAAACAAACTCAAACGGACAGACACTCAAACTCTCTAAAAATATATATTGACTTTAAAAAACCATCCATGTTTCCTTATCATATATAAATTCTTTTTACCCAGCGTTCAGGTGGTTTCGGAAATCCTCTTCCTCCTCCTCCTCTTCCTCAGGTACTGCCAACTCTGTGGCTCTCTCTACTGCCATCTCACTAAGCCGCTGGGCTAATATTAGTCTTCGAGAGCGAGACGCATACTTGATAGCTAAATTGACCGCATTTTGGCTCATGAGGTCAGCAAGTTCCACACAACGGAATTCACGTTCCAGTTTACAAGAAAGCTAACAAAAGAAAAATAATCCTTTAGTTATATACTCCACAGGCAAGCTTCCAAGAATAGCCCAAATAGAATAATTAATCACAGCAAAGGCACTAGTCACCACCAATTTAATATTTCATACAGGACACACCAGACACCCATATATACATACACCTTATAGCATTTGCAAAAATAGTAACCTTTTTTTTAGCACATACAGGGTTCCTCTCTTAGTCAATGAAGACCTATTAGTCAATAATTTTTTATAGATAGATATGAAGACCTATTAGTCAATAATTTTTTATATATAGATATACTAGAAGACTTACCTGGTGTTGCCTAGGTCCTTCTGGGCAGGGGGCTGGTGGCGTGTGGGTGCAGAACTCAGGGCAGGGCTTTGGGATGTGGAGGGTGGGGGGGTCAAGGCAGGAGCCTGAGGGTGTGGAGGGGGTATGAGAGAGTATTGGAGTTAAGGAGAGGCTCAGGGCAGGGGGTAACATCCAGTGGAGCCATATCTCCTTGCCCCTTGCCCCCAATCAGCAGGGCCTTCTCTCCCTCCCAGCCTACAGGGACCTTGTGTCATCCCCCCAGGCTCTCCCGGACACTAGGGGCCTTTTCTCCCCTGCCCAAGCACTGTGGTCAAGGGCCAGGGGGGAAGGTGGTGTGGTAGGGGGCTACTTACTCACTCTGGTTGCAAACAAGATGGAGGAGTTCCAGACTTGCTGGCTGCTCTCTTGGTGGCATGACTATCCCCAGTGGTCACTCTGCACTCTAGCTCTTTCCTGTGGACTTGCTGCCCCTAGTGGTCACTCTCAATCGCATCTCTCCTCTCTGTGCCCCTCCCTTTCCATGTTATGGAAAACAGTCCCATTCCCAGCACTTCCCATTTTCCTGGCACCACCAAACCCTGACCTTGCTTTAAGTTAGGATAAGAGGAAGCTGCCTACCAAATTTGGCGGTCCTAGCTCTTGCAATTTAGGAGGCGCTTTTAAGCAAATGAACTCTCAGACAGGCAGATGCACAAATTTCTTACCTCCAATACTCTCTCATAACCCCTAAAAACGAAGCCTGGAAATTCGAAACTGACTTTAATACAAAGCATGCATGGATATGCAAGCCCATCAATGATTATTAAAATAATGCTGGAAATTTAGTCATCGTGACAGTAAAAATTTAACAACACTGCCTAGAATAGCGTTCCTCAAAGTGGACCACGGGCCTGCTTTGGGAAAGCTGCCAGCTGGCCACTCCACTTTGTTTACCTAAAGGCTCTGTAGCCACAGAGCCTTGCAGCTGCTTTTGGCTACAGTTCACTGTTTCCAACCAAGGGGTGCCGCAGAGCGTCTGTGGTGGGCCTGGCCTGCTCCCCTGCTGCAGGTTACATGGTGGCTCCCAGGGAAGCAGCTGCAGAGCCCACGGAGAAGTCTCCCTGGGAGCAGAGCCAGCAGCCCTTGCCAACTTCACTCCCTGGGTGGCCCACTCCCCAGGAGTGACCATCACTGTGTCAGCGAAGCCTCACAGAGTGGAGCTGGCAGCCCTTGCTAGCCCTGCTCCCAGGAGTGGCCCAAGGCCAGCTGCAGCAGCTGGCGTCCTAGGCGGGGCGGCGCAATCAGCGCCCCTGCCTGCACGGCCGTCAATGGCCGTGACGTCATCAAGGGGTGCCGGGGCGCCCCGTGACGTCATCATCAGGCGCCCGGGCCAGCGGCGCCCTAGGCAGCTGCCTAGCTCGCCTAGGCTCACGGGCCGCCCCTGCCTCCTCCTGAGCAGGCAGCTTCACTGCAGCAGCAAAGTCTCCTGCCAGGGAAGCAGCTTCACTAAGGCAGTGAAGCCTCCTCTCCTCAGAAATGGGGCCCCAGGGAGGTGGCTTTGCTGCAGCAGCAAAGCCTTCTCCCAAGGAGCAGGGCCGGCAGCCCTTACCAGCTGCGCTCCTGGGGAAGAGGCTTTGCTGAAGGCTCTGCAGTATACAGCTTGCTTAAGCTTTATACTGCAGAACCTAGAGCATGTAACTGTGTAACCACTAAGACTTCTAGTGGTTACATGGTACATTTTTAAATGACTTTTTACATCCCAATTTCTAACTCTGCAACATTTATGGTAGTCTGGTGCCAGGCTTCTTATGCAGAGACTGCCAATTACACCTAATGGTACAGCAAAAAAAGCAGTTATCTCTGTACGATATCTATTCCACAACGGAGAAAGCTAAATGCACACCGAGTCTTACATGAATAACTGTACACACAGAAGAAGTTGACAACATAGCTATCGATAATTAAAGTGAAACCGACATCAAATACTATCTACTGAAAATGAATGCTAAACAGTAAGCTTTAATTGCTTTCACATTTAAATTTTACTTACAGCAAACAATTTCATTAAAAGTTCCTGCTGTTCTTTTGCAGCCTCATTTTTAGCATTTTCATCATATTCATATCCATTTTTTGATAAATAATCCACATGGTTGTGAAACAAAATTGAACGCCAAAACTGTTCCTGAATAAGAGTAAAAAAGCATAAAGAAGGCCAGAATAAAAGGTATTTAGTACTTTCCACCAACTCGTATCAAATTATTTTCTAATGTTCCTAATGTCCCACATCCTATTTGGGCAAGTGATACATAGAAGAGTGTTCTTTATCTCAGGACCTTTACTTAAGCCTCTATCTGAAAAAAAGAAATATACCACACAAAGAACTTTGTGGCATGCTTGTAAAACACATCATGGCCACACACATACGTACTCCATATAGTGTTGCTGATTTTGGTTGTATGTATGTATTTCTGGAGGTTTCATTGCATGACATAATCTTTAACTGAAAATTAAATTCCAGGAGATTCCCAGATAATCCTGGAGCTCCAAACATCTTATATGCAAGGTTAACACCATTTGTATTATACTTGTTCTAAGCTGGACTGAATACTGGTCTAATCTGAACCATCTGAGCCTGCACCAATTTATTGTAGTGAAATGGTATGAAACAGCACTAGCTGGATCTTGGCCAAAACTAGTGTTTTGCAACACAAACAAACAGGGCTAGCAAACTAAACTAAACCATTTGTGTTTAAACTAGTCCACGTTCATTGCCTCGACTGGGAATGATTCTGTTCTGTAGTGTAGAGACTACTTAAATACAAGCTCTCTCTGTCTAAATTAACATTTCATGAAATCCTTCAATTGTTTGGCAAGGACAACGTTGTTAGTACTTTTGAAAAATGGAGGAAAACCAATGAATAGTTCATAAAAGAATAGGCTTTTTTTTTAACTGAAGCTTCTTCTGTATACATAGATCAGTGAGCGTGGATTTCAAAACACATGAAATTGCCATATGAAATGGTGGTTAAAAATCAATGCCACTTTACATAATGTGAATGCCAAATGAAAACAGGTGTAAATGAGGTTTAAATGAAAACAGAATATGGAGCAAAGTAGACCTTTTGCAGAAATACTGAAGAATCTTCTGCATGTACATCTTTTTAACTAGTCTATTTTAAGAGACAAATTAAACCTGAAGACCAATATTTTCAGAATGGCTACTAATTTTGGGTATTTAAGAATATACTTAAAGGAGTCAGATTTTCAAAATTTGTATGGATCAGCATTGCCTCAAAATCAAGCCCTTTTAAGGGCTTTTAAGTTGGGTCCCAAACACTAAGGCAGCCAAAAATATTAATTATTTTTGAAAAGCAGACAGATTAGATTTTGTTGGTAAGTTAGCATTTCTTAATACTTTGACTCTATCAACTGTATTTATTTATTTTCCTTGGTACATACAATTATTTCAAACAAACAAACAAACAAAAAACCTGTGTAAGCTACCAACCCTGAATAAACTCCACATATCTTTCACAGATTCTACAATGCTTCTCTGTATTACAATTCCCAAAATGTTTACTGGGGTTAAATATTTTACAATAAATTTAGTGATGCCAGACTGACAGCCCTGGTAACTGAAGACCTCTATTCATGTACAGATGGACAGAATGGGTTGCAGCTTCCCTATACTACCCTACTAATGTGTCTCAAACTTGACGCAAGAGCAAAAACACTAGAAGAGTACTATCATGGATTCAATAATTTGACTTTCTGATGCTCACTGCAGTTGTAGTTTTAAAGATGTGGACCCCATTCATTAGAACACTTAAGATTACCAACAAATTGGGATGCGATTAAGTCTACATACCTCCATCTGTCCTTTTTCTGTGGTAATTTGACAGTAAGGAAGTTTAAAAGATAAAATTGCTACAGCAGGACGTGGAAGTGTAGGAGGGAATCGAGCTCCTTTACAAGGAATGCATCTGTACCAGGGAAACAAAACACATACAAATCATTCAAAATCTACAATAAAGCCAGTTCACCTAACTGCAAGCCAGGTCTCCCAATTATCTAGTTGGAACAAGATATTTTAACAGGATTTATTATTTACAAAAGTAATATATTCCTAACACTTAAATCAATATTGCAGTGATGGGATTGCATATATTTTTACATCTGAAACAAATAAAAGCTTATGAAAAGGCAAGACTATTTTCTCCACAATGTCAGTTACACCAAAGTTCCTATTCCATTCTCTTGTTTACTCCAGATATGTTAAATACAGCAATAAAACATCATAAATTTCTAACACACGATTTAACATATACTAGAAACCATACATCCAAATGTATTCAAATTATGGGCCACTGAAAAATGGAAGATAATTGCAAAATTTGAGCTTATCACTTGTTTTATTTCTGAAAAGCAGAGTGTGTGATGGAAAGGGCTACATACACACTCACTCACTCACTCTCTTAAGACAGTTTAATACCACTTTATGCTTTTTGACATCACAGATACAGTCCTGAATTAAGTTACTCAAATATTACTGTGGTATTATAATGGCATTGAAGCCAGTAAACTCTTAGAAGGTTCAGCTGTCTGTAGAGCAGTCTCACTCAAGTAATAACATTTCTGTTTAAGAGTTTGAGATGGTGTTTCAAGCACTGCATAAAAAAAAAGGAAACATTACTGATCTGGCTATGTGTTTTAATTACTGCATAAGGTTTGATAAATGAAACACCAAACAATGGCCTTCCCCTGATTTCTTATCTTTAGTAGTTCTTGTGGCTTTGATTAAAACATTCTTTATAATTCATAGAAGATCACCCTTTTTATTAGAGGAAAAGGAGGAAAAAACTCATGATGACTCGGACTCAGTCATCCCACTAGTTTGATATACGTTTTAATGAGTTTCCTGTAAACCAGGGTTATTTAAAGATCTGGAAGTGGAAGTGGGCAATGCCGTGACGTTTGCCAATGACACAAAATACTTTCAATTTAAAAAAAAACTATGGAGGAGTGTAAGAAGCTCTACTTTGAATTACATTTTTTTCTAAATTCTTCTGCCACCAGCCTTTAGGATGGTGTACCATTGACAAAAGATAATCTCAATTTCCCATGTGAGCTGATGGGTTCTGAACTGCGGGATCCTCTCCAGGGAGAGGGGGGGGAGGATATAGGAGTCACAGATGGATGAATAAAAGACCAACCTAGTGTGGATCAGCAATTAAACAGATAGGATGCTTGGGTGCATTAAAAAGGGATTTAAAAAAATATCAATTACTTAAACCATGTTATTGTCATACACCGTTCTATACAATGGTGGTTCATTCTCAGCTTCTTACAGTCATAGATTAAGTATTTTTGCAAAAGTAAACTGTTATGACTGAATCCACACAGGACAATATCCACCCATGTGGATTTCATTACACGATCTGGCCATTATTAAAGGCATACGAGGGGGAAAGATATACCAAATGATCAAGGCATTTATAAAAAGCAATGTACGATTGGACCAAATGGAATTGGGAGCTTATGATACTGTTTTAGGAACTCCATAATCAGAAGAAATCTTATGAGCTTATTGGCTTTAGAAAATTGTAATTTTAGTAAGGTTTGAATTCAGTACCAAGAGGTCATGAATTTACCATGCACGATAAAATGCAAGATGCCTACTAGCCAAGTTAGAAATGTAAAATTAGTCAGTCACACGTTAGAAATGTGTTAATCAAATTGTTAATGATAATTTTATTCAAGGTGAACTTAGTAATTAAAAGTATATTTTAAAACTTTATCAATTTTTAGATAGATAGATAGATCGATCGATCGATCTATCGATCACTTTGGGGCATATGTATTAGCTACTTAATCTTTTTAAAAAATCACACTTGTAAAAGTTTTTTTTCTAGTTTATATTATAATAAAGGGGAAATGTAACATATATACCATGATCAAGATAAATCAAGAAAGTAATTCCCTTTGCAATATCCCACCTCAGCTGCTGGGGGTTTTCATGGATACCAACTACCCAATAATGATCTGATTTTCCTTTGCAGTGCTCTCTTGTGTCACACACAGGAATCCATGTGTTCCCAAGTCCTCTATTCAACATCTTCACGATTCCCTCAGAATCCACATAACATGGGGTACCTATTTGTAACAAACACACGCATTGTTCTGTAAGACAACTTGGTTTAAGGTTGCAATATGACTAAGGATTTATGGGAAGATGCTGCTAGGCAGCAGTACATGGTTAGGATACCCAAATATTAAGTAATGCCCTCCTGCCAAAGAGTACAAACTGTTTGGGAGAAGCTACTATTTGCTTAGAAAGCTGCACCACCTGCTGGTCAGATTATTCAAACTGAAATGTAAATGTGGAAATACATAATAGATTGGAATTCCTGAAAGATTTGCTAGAAAGTAAGTTACTTGAGGGAAAACACCAGCTTTGGTAACAAGCACTTTTTCCTGCTATAAGTTTCAGAAGTAACCAAGTCAACCGAAAGGAAATTTCTCTTTTCAGTCATGGGCCCAGCAGTATTTGCAATTTATTCTTCTACTCAAGGCAGGTAGTTCCCAAATTAAACTACTTAGCAGCTGTAATTGTCTTTGACATTTGATTCAGATGGTGTAGTCTTTCTACTTTCTCACTATGCAGCTAAAATTCGGGCCTGCATGAAGGTTGGATGGTGGAGTACCAAACCACAAAAGAAAGAGGTCATACTTGTGAATACAGAAAACATTCAGAAGAGGTGCAAGTGCTGATATCTGTCTTTAGACTAGCGAGTGTTTGCTAGATCCCCAGTATTTATTAGCCCTCCAATTGCATTAATAGCCAAGAAAAGTTATTCTCGTCCATGTATGACTAGCAGATTGGAACCTCTCCTTTTGGAAGCAGAACTGCCCATTTATCTGGTCTTTGTCACCTCAAACTGCAATTATTATTGGACACAAAGCTGCCAGTGGAGACCACTAACATTTCAGCTAGTGCAGAATGCAGTTCCTGAAGTGGTGCTTCTCACAGGAAGAATGACGCATGTAGTTCACAGCATGCTCTGGTTTCTAATTTGTGTCCAGGTACAAGTCAAGGTATTGGCTGCAACTTAAATATTTTTTAATAATATTGTTCCTGATTATTGCAGAGAACACTTCTCATGCTGTAACACAGCATTTGAGATCAGCTGAAGAACATGACTTAAAAGACCTCACAAGGACTCACAAGGGGGAGTAGGGTTTGGGGGCATGTTCCCAGCTGTGGGACCTCAGTTCTAGAACTCACTCCAAATATAGATCTGACAGAGGAGACATTGCTGATCTTCACAGAATGCAACATGGCTCATCTATTTTTCTCACAGGCTTTTCCCTAAGTGGAAGTTTGGGATAGAATTCAAGCTTTTTCTGTTTTGGTAGAATGGCAGAGATGTGGCTGGGGGGCGGGGGGGAGGGCAGGAGGAGGAAATGCAAAACGGGAAGCTGACTGGCTCAAGGTTTTTTAGTAAGATTTTTATGTGTTTTGGTTAATATCATAAATGCACTAAGATTTCTGATTACCACATTTTAAATCAGAGAACGAAGGACTGGTCAGTGTTCAAGACCGTTTAAAAACAAACTGGAGTTACAGGAAAATCTCATTTTTTGAAGGTTAGGTGTACTCTCTGCAAAATTCTCCATCTAAAAGGGAACTAACATTTCTAATTGGAATGTCAATCATATAACTGCATTAGCTTACCTTCTGCTGAAAATCCTACCCACATCAGGTAGGATTTCCTCGTAAGAGGAAGTGGATCTCCATGCAAAACCAGCCTCTTTTTTTTCCCTAACTCTATTAGCTGCACTCCAAGGCACTGGTCCCCATCAAAGCCAGTACCTAGTAAGAAAAGAAAGTCAAAACAATGACTATATAGCATAACAATGTAATTGCATACTTTCTTTGACAGCATCCGATATAGGTTGCACCTCCCTAAACCGTGATTCTATGGTCTGGCAAGATCCAGATCATGGATGTTCCTGGACCTGAGCCGCAGGGGGGGGAGCCAAGTGGCAGGAGAGCCTGGTGGCAAGGGGGCTGGTGTCTTGCAGCCCAGGTGGGGCCACATCAGGGAGCAGGGCCAGGTCTGGCGTCTGGTAGGAGGGCCAGAGCTGCTGTCGATGGTAGCGGGCTGAGACCTGAAGCGGTGCCAGTGGTGGGGAAGGAAACGGGCTGGCCGGGAGGGGAGGGGGGGTCTGGCATGGTACCTCCCCTGGTTCAGCAAATTCCCAAAGATGCCAAACCAGGGAGGTCTAACCTGTAGTAAAATGCATATTCTTCTCTGAGCTAATTTTTAATATGTTTTTAATTGAACAGTTACCTCAGTAATTCTAATTCAGGTTATCAAACTCCTCAGTCAAATAACTGAGAGACCAATTCTGATCTCAGATATGCGGGTACATATTGTGTGTATCTTGTAAGCTCTTACAAACACATACGTAATAACTGTTTTTACAAACTACAGTGGCAGTTTGCTCCTGTGTTTCAAATCTAAGCAGGATAATGGCTCTCTTACAGTTACAATCCTCTCCCCCAAACTTAGCCAATTATCAAAGCATTTTCTTTATTCCTGCCAAGCAATTAAATGTCTATAGTATATTATAATCTAATATAAGGTCTATAGTTTATTCAGAATTCACGTCGTCATAAGTGACAGATATGCATCAATATACAACAAAGGCAACATTTGCAAACTTGAGTGTTTAAAAATTTAAGCAAAAAATTGTTGCTGTTTCTCAAGTGTTGAACACATACAATTCCTACATAAGTCAGTGGATGCTGCGCATCCTTGGCCCCTCTCACAATCAGGTTACTTATTTTTAAGTGACTAATTTAAGGCACTTGAGTTTGAATATGTAGGTTTTATTATTCAATGACAGTTGTGGGGTTGCTGCAATAAAAGGAATAACGAGTGGAGGAAAAGAGGGAAAGCACAGAGTGAGGAAAAGAATTGGTAACAATGTACAACAGACCATTACCTGAAACCACTAACAAAAGGTAATAGGAATGGATGGGAAGTTGTGGAATCTCCAACACTGGAGATATTTAAGAGAAGGCTGGATATACATCTATCAGAGATGATATATATGGTGCTTAGTCCTGCTGTGAGGTCAGGGGAATGAACTTGAGGACCTCTTGAGGTCCCTTCCAGTTCTAGTATTCTATGATTTAAAACAAACCAAAAAAAAAGCACACAAAGAAGAATACCTCTGTGATAAATAACCACAAGCTGTTCTCCATGTCCTGCCATTGACACCACTGGACCAGGGACACTGAAGATCTCTTTCTGAACTCCACCAATTGTAAATACACGAATTAGCATGGCACCAGTGGCACATGCAGCCCAGCCCTGACCCAGACAAATAGCTTCAATATCTTCATCCTTTGGCATATCTACTGTCCATTCCTTGTTTGAATCCCAAGAGCTAAAATGGATGCAATGAAGCTTGCTAAAAAAATTAGAATAAAAGAAAAACTTTTAAATTTGAAATACACAGCATGATTTAAAATATACTGTCCACTTACCTCTTCTTTGTAAACTTTTAGAGACTGGATACTGCCTACAATCTGCAACTATCAGAGAAGTGAAATGACACGATAATTACAAATTATAAATTGTAATTCTATTGCTCAGTGATTGATCATCCAATTCAATTTGCAGCTTTGGAGAAATAGAGATTCTTCAAAAGCATGATGTGGAATCTGGTTAGGTGCCCATGGGTGGGATTCTTAAGATGAGCTGAGCAACTCCAATTCTAATTAAAATTAATGGGAGCTGAGGGTGCTAAACATTCCTGATAATCAGGCCCTTACAAAACTTGTCACACTTTCCTGATAAATTATTTTGGTTATTTTTTATTAAAAATTTTAAGTTTTTTAAATTTAAGCTTTGAGAGACAAACAAATTGATTAAAAATTCAATTTGACAAGAGTCTATTTGCATGAATAGTTCTATTAAGTGCTGCAAGGATTTAAAAAATAAAAAAGGACAGACAACTCTCACAGATATCTGTCAGCGGTAAATAAGATCCAGGAAGAGAGCTACATGTTTAGAGCTTAATCCCTGTGTCCATTGATCATTACTGTCTATTACATTCCCATTTGTCATTTAATAGTGGAACTCCAATGCAACATCTTTCACATGGCAAACTTAAAAATACAACTACTATAGAGTCTTGTTACATTACATTGAAACACTAGAAGGCCAAAAAGGCTGACTCTTAAATACCCCAAGTGTCTGACATACTTTTGAAAAGCTTTCAAAAGCCTACAAGTGTTTCAGCACTCCTCTAACTAGTAGATGCTGGTCACATTTTATAAATTAAGGGCTACATTTTGGCTAGTTGTACAGAGATGAGCTGGGTGAGGAAATTAGTGGAAGATCCTTCTATCTTCAGAATCCTCACTGAAGAATCAGGCAGGATGCTACTGTAAAAGGGAACATTCTGCTGTTGGAGAGCATGTATTTCACCCTTCATCAGCAGATATAAGGAGCACGATGCAATACACAACTTAAGTCATTCTGTCAGTGTGTGCCCTGCAGCCAAAATGCATCTATACACCTAAGCTCAGACAAAATATCTTGTCTATTGTCACTCCCAGTACTGAAGAGAGAAGTAAGGGGACACACTGGCCAACATTATGGACTTGAGGGGACTGAAATTCTGTCACTCGTACGTACAGTTTCTCTTACAACATCAATGCATTAAAACCAAACAGAAGAACTTTAAACAAGAAACAAAGAAAAGTTACCTGCACAACATAAAGTATTAGGATACTCTTTAAATCTATATAGTGGAAGGATGTGAAAATCTATCACCAAAATTGCTTGGGTTTTTTTTTTAATTAAGGTCAAGAAGCATAAAACAAAGAGCTCCATGTTATCAAACGTGCTGACTTTAATTCCACAATACAGGTCTCATGCAGAAGTGCTACAGTTTACCTTGCAAGTTCCTCTGTGCTCTCACATGCCAACAAGATAGCTTCACTAGAGAGATCAGCCATTGTGTAATTTAGAGAATTCGGTAAGTGTGTTGCATGATGTATAGAGGTATCATGAAATTCCACATCTATAGCATTGTCTTGCTCATCATTATAACACCGGATAATACCAATAGAGTTCCATACCTATAAGAAAAAGGTGAATATTAGCAATTCCAAATAAGCCAGTTAAATTATTTACACCTATGAACAGTTACAAAGGGTTTAAAAAAAAATCAAATTCATAGCTCCTGAATAAATTCAGCAGTATAAATTTAACCAGATTTCATCTGTAGACACCATAATGGATTACAAAAGCAAGTTATAATCACTGTGTGTGTATTGTTTAATCTCTCTCCTTGTGAAATGAAGGATAGGTTAGTCACGGATGTAAACTATAGGGATGTAAAATCCCAGTTAACCAATTAAATGTTATGTGTAACCAGTTAACCGATTAAACAGGGCCAGACAAGGACTACTCTGACTGTGGCAGAGCACCCACGCCCGCAGAAGGACCCACTGGGCTGAACAGGCCCAGCGGGCTGCTTCAGCCCCCACTGGGTAACCATCACTCGATAAGGGTGATGCTTACTGATTAATCAGTTACCTATTCACATCCCTAATAAAGAAAGAAATAATGGAAGAAGTTTACAGAAGATCATAAAATAAAAATTAGTCTTAAAAGTACAAAACTGGTGAATAAAACTCATAGTTAAGGACAGCATTTAGTCACAGAGGTAAAGGATTCTGTGAATCTAGCAGACCTTAATGACTTCTTCATCTTCAGCCCCTGCCTCAGCGACTGCAATGGATGGATCAGCAAGTGGGGCCATGGCTGTCAGCAGCCAGAGTTTTCAGCCCCCAGGGCTGGAGCTGTCAGTGACTAGAGTAGTCACCTTCCTTCCAAACCCCTCAGTCACATCCCCCAGCAGCCATGGCCAGAGCTGCCAGCCGCAAGGGCCAGTGCTGTGCTGGCCCCAGAGCTGTCCTCCTTGCTCGTAGTGGACACAGCCAGGTCTGTCAGCTGCCATGACCAGAACTGTTCCACTTCCCTACTCTAACCACCCCTGCAGCACAAGGTGTCTCTTGACATCAGCCACAGGGGCCAGAGCTATCCCCCCAACACCATGCAGATGTAGCAATCCCCTCCCACACCCTCTCCCCCCACAACTGGAGCTGTCAGTGGCTAGGATTAGAGCTGGAGCTATACCCACTCTAGTAAGATGAAGGCCTAAAACAAAAGCCTATGTAGCACAGGCCTGATTTGAGGCCTGAGGCCTAGCTAGCAAAGGACAACACTTGGCTAATATAAAGCAAAACTAAGCTGTGAGCAAGAGGCAGGCCCCTTGCTCACAGAACTTAGCATGAACAGGGCTAAGAGTGAAAAACGCTACTTGGTAATAGGCCCTGGTGTAGAACAGTAATTGGTATTGGTCATAAGGTGAAAGCACATTCCAAAAGGATGGTAACACCATCTCATTAAAAAGATCTTAGTACCCACTCCCCCCACAGATACCAACACAGGTTCAAGAAAGGGTCTAAAACAACAGCATGATGGATACAGCTGATCTAATTACACCACGAGGTACAGGGTGATATCTAAGTAGCGTCAGAGGGTGGCAACCTGATGTGTCAGGAGTGATGTATAACTTGTTTGTACCTGTATATAAAGTGGTGTCTTGGGGGGATGGTCTTTGACTGACCAGGAAGACAGTGGAGGTCTCCCACTGATTTAGTCAGTCCACTGTTCGGTGGTCTACTAACAACTATTACTGTACTTTGCTTAACAATAAACCAGACTGGGCGCCTTTGATCCTCATCTGATTTGTGATCTTTGGGGGCTCTCTTGAAGTCTGCTGTGTTAACTAACTGTGCAAGTCAACATGGCAAACATCATTGAGACACAGGCAAGCAGCCTTCTGGTTATTAACACTGACAGAGCAGGAACCCATCAGGACGACCCTGCCAAACCGACAACAGTCCCACCCCTTCACAGCAGCAGTGGGGACTGTCAATCCCTACTTCCTCCCCCACTCCCTATGATGGGACTTGGGCTGTCAGAATGTAATCACACAGGTACAAAATGTCATTTTAATTTTTCCTTAAATATTCTATATCAAATAAAAAATAGAAACTTCAAATTTGTGTGTGATTTAGGCAAGTTACTTAATTTCTCTGCAGCCAAGTTTCTTCATCTGTAAATGAGGCTACGTATACAATGCTTAGCAATCCTTGTAAAAGTACTTTCAGATTTAGACCCAAAAGGTGCTAAGTATACCATTAAGAGTTCTTGGTATTAACAGAATACTACTTTTATTATTTAGCTTCACAGTTATGTCAAACTTTAAAATTTTCCAAGATAACAGTCTAAAAAATTTGATCTTAGTCTTAGACAACTCAAACCAGAAGAAGTGTCAGTAATTATGGAAGATATTATAATACCCGCATCCATAGATAAAATTAGACTTACCATGAAGCGGTGCATGAGATGCAAAGGGGTAGAACCAGACTGGAATGGCTTTTGCTGTGGGGTTGGCATTGGTCCATCATAGAAAGGTCTTTGGGTGGTTGACGCTGGTAGAACCGGTATGCTGCCATCTTGGTCATCATCATCATCTTTTTCAAGATTGGAATTAACTTTCATTAGCGCAGTATCTAGAAAGTAAAACTTCAATATCAGAGAATTACTGTGGCATATGAGAGAGAAAACAATTAAAGAAACACCAAAGAGCTGTGCAATGTGGTAAGACATAGGACATATTTGACCAGAGGATGTAGGAAAGACACAATAAGACATTATTAAACCCCCCCAAAATACTATAAGAGTTGTAGAACCCAGTTCATACTGTACCTAGTGAGTTATCATCCTCTATTATTGCCCCTCGGTGCCTAGGATGGCCTGAAGCTAGCATGAGGTCATCATCATCATCTTCTTCCTCATTAGATATGACCTTTGGAGACGACCGTGGCTCAGTCAGGTTTGCGTTTAAAAAGTCATCATCTTCATCAAAAAGATCATCATAGTCCTTTGTCACTGCCCTGGAAATCTGAAGTGAAGTAAAAGTCCTCAGAGAGCATTTTTCTGATCCTTGCATTCATAAGGTGAATTAACTAATAACCAGACCAACCCATACAGGGGCTCAGTTGGCTAGATCTTTGAGTTTTTAAATAAGCATGACTGCATAACACACACATAAGGATTCATATTTTTATTACCTTGCCACTTGATTTATTTCCAGCTCTATTACAAACATTCTCAAGGAGTCCCAGATTTCCTTCGGTGTCTGTATAAGCTATTTGCCCTCCTTTGGGGTGCCATGCCAGCCCACAAATTGTGTAACTTTTCTCATGTTTCATCCTAAATACACAAAAATGGTTTTTAAGATTCTTAAGGCTAGTCCTTTCATAAGTGCATTCTGCAATGTTCTCATGCTCCTTGGTGCTATAAAGCAACATATAGATAAATGTAGCAAAAAAATTAAGAGGTACAGAAAAGGGCTACTTTGATAATCAGAGAAATGGAGAAACTGCCTTATGACTAGAGACTTAAGGAGTTTGGTTTGTTTAGCCTAAAAACCAAAGGCTGAGGAAAGACATGATTGTTCTCTACAAATACAGGAAGGGAAAAGAGTTATTTAATATAAGGGCCACTGTTGGCATAAGAATATATAAAATCATACTATCACAGAATACTAGAATTGGAAGGGATCCAGAGAGGTTATCAAGTCCAACCCCCTGCCCTCAGGACCAAGCACAACCTAGATCATCCATGATAGGCATCTCTCTCAACCAGTGGTTGTAACTGGTTTTTCTCAACCAGCGGTACAGTACCCTTAGGGGTACCCGAGAGAAGTCTGGGGGGGTATGTCAACATAACTGAAATTTGGAGAAAACTGAATTTTGGTTATAAGTTTTACAGTGCTTTATTATTTTTGTATTTTTTACACCCAAAAATTTCATCGCCTGCCTGGCTACGATTAAGTTGTTTAAATAAATGTGTTGCAATAGTAGAAATAAAATTGTGTCTGAAAACTGTAGGTACTGGGGGTACTTATAATTTTTAAAAGGGGTACTTTATACAAAAAGGTTGAGAAACACTGGCCTATCTAACCAGCTCTTAAATATATCTAGTGATGGAGATTCCACAACCACCCAAGGCAATTTATTCCAGTGTTTAACCACCTTGACAGTTAGGAAGTTTTTCCTAAATGTCCAACCTAAACCTCCCTTGCAGCAATTTAAGCCCACTGCTTCTTGCCCTATTATCAGAGGTCAAGGAGAACAATTTTTTCCCCTCCTCCTTGTGACACCCTCTTAGGTACTTGAAAACTACAATTATGTCCCTTCTCGGTCTTCTCTTTTCCAAACTAAACAAACCAAATTCTTTCAGTCTTCCTTCATAGCTCCAAACAATTTACCACTTAAGACAGTCTGGTGAATAATTCAGTGAAATGTATAAAAGAAAGGCCAAACATGAAGTAAAGCCCTTCTTTTTCCCAGTCAAGGATCATTTCTGGAGATCTTTTATCTTCTAAAAAATGACCTCTCTTGTGGAGTAGGGTTGTATTGGTATCAAGCACAAAAATTATTCCTAGAAAATTTCATCAACTTAATAGCTAACAAACAGCATTTTGTCCACTACAAGAGACATATATTTGGCATTTTTTAAATCAGGAAGGAGTGCTCCTCATAAATTACCTCCAACTTTTACGCTGCTGTGGAATCAAACAAGGAATTTGCTTCTCATGATTTACATTGTCATCTTTGTTTTTATCTCTGGCAAAAAGCTCCTCCAGCATTTCCAACAGCACTCCTTCACAAGCTTAGCATATAGGAAAGACCATTTCTTTTTAGCTACAGCCCAGCACTATCTGAAGAGGCAGCTATTGCTTTTTCCTGTAAAGTTGCTGATGTTGAGAGAATGACAGCTGAAGTGTGATATGACTTTTTCAGGTTTTCAATTTTGTCACAACTTGCAATGCTGCCAGGAGACGAAGCTGCACTGAAGTTACTGTGCTTTGATTCAAAGTGGCGCCTCACACTGACAACCTTACAGATGGATACAGGGGTTTGGCATCTTAAATGAAAACGAGGCAGCATAATAAAAAGAAAATCTGCTCTTCAGTTTTGGTTAAAAGCTGTTTTTCCTGCTAATTTTGCCAATTCACATTCATTTTTCCATCACTAATGAAAAAATGGACATGCTAAATTGCAAGAACTTAAAATCCAATAAGTCATACTTAATTTGTGCGAGCATCTCTTGGCTGTCAGCCAGCAGCTGCCATTCTCCAACCACCCAGCTTTGAAGGCAGTGCCACCATCAGCAGCAGCACAGACATAAGAGTGGCATTACCATACCATGCAACTCTTACCACTGCCCGGCTGCAGGTGGCAGCGCTGCCATCAGTGCTGGGTATCCAACAACTCTTCAGCCACCCAGGCAATGTTTATTTTGTGCTGGGACTTGCTGGAACTGAGTCCTGGCACCTTTTTCATTTACAAATTAAGCACTGCCAGTGAATGACTTACTAAGTCAGTCAAAAGCTTCAGAGGGGTAGCCGAGTTAGTCTGTAACTTGAAAAACTAGAAATAATAGGCAGAATAATATTTTTTTAAGGTGAGCTAGCAGGTCATATGGAAGTCTTGTTGGGCTCACAGGCTCCCACCCATTGTGGGGCCATATAAAGGCCATGAGTGGACTGTCACTCTATTGCTCTCAGCTGAGAGAGCAGGAGAGTGGGATTTTTTTTAAATCTAAATATATCTTTTTATGAGTTTTCTAAAAGCAAATTATGTATCTATTTATATGGTGAAAGTCTAAAAATAAATGATAGGATAAAACTCCTCTTTGTCAAAACAATAGACAAACATTTATGTATTGTATGGGAAAGCAATGAATACCTTTCCATGCACTCCTGAGTTTTCACATTCCAAATGACTATGCATCCATCAACACTTCCAGCTGCTACATACTGTCCGCAAGGAGACCAGGTAACAATATTCAGAGTCTAGGGTAAGTAGAATAGACATTGCTATTAGGTGAGCATTGACAATATTCTTGGCTCTGTATAGTAAAAATCACATATATGAAAATTTTGAAAACTTCTAGGAAACTTTCTTATAAGAGACACATTAAAAATAAGGATGTTTTTATTACTTTTCATTCAGAGTGCTTATTTTCAGTCACTGCATGCTGTAGAGAAATGCAACAAAATCCGAGGTTTTCAAATATCCTGCAACATGTGGACAGCAGCACAATGCATTTTGCAAGTATAGAAAGCAACTATTTTAGGTGGAGTTATGTACAGTGTAAATGACTGTTTTATATTTTAATATTTGAAAGACTATTAATATCTGTTCCACTGGCAATATACCCAGTGATTACACACATACCGAATACACATATCTAAATTACTACACAGGTAAATTTGCATTCTCCTACACAGCAATCTCCAAAGACATATTATAAGACAGGGAACAGCAATGCTGCTAATTCCCTGCTATGTAAGCAGATTTCAGTTAATCAAAATATAGAGTAGATAAATGAAATCTCTACTACACAAAATCAAGAAATATTCCTAACAGTTCTCTTTATATGATTCAATATAGGATTATAACAAGATTACAAAAGAGAGGGAAGATCACCTAGAAGGCATATGGTCACTAAACAATTTCTAAGAGCCTCCTTATGGAAAAGTTTGCCAATCTGGGTTTTAGGGCACTCACCTGAGTGATGAAATTATCTGAAAGATCATATTGATTATCCCAAGTTTCTCTTCTGTACAGTTTAACAATTCTCTCAACTGGAACTGCTAGTAACTATTCAGCGGGACAAATCAAAATTTTTCTTAATTTAATTTTTATTTCAAACTTCCCTTCCCTTTCAAATAACATTAATTATAGCAGCAAACAAGCAGTATAGTTCCATTATTCAGAACTGATATTATAGTTGCAACTACCACAATGTGTCACGGTATTTAATGAACACTTTTAATAGCATTCCAATTTAATTGGTTGATAAAGACATAGAACATTGCAAATTACACTGGAAATCGCAAGAAACACAAATCAAACACATTTGAGCACACCAATTTCTATTTTAAATCTGCATTTATTTCTGGGAGAAGGGTGAAGAAGCTAACAGCTGCCCCTGAAAATTACAGAAATTCTTTGGAACAACTAGCAAAATTTATAAATAGATTTCAGCTGCTTATAAACAAGACTTCCCCCAATGGATGCCCCAAAGTAGATGTCTATTAAACCGCTTGATTAGATTTATTAATATGTATATATTATCTAATAATATAAGTATACATCTTTGAATATTTAATTCTTAAACAAGATCATTTCACCTAATTCAAAGTGTAGAAAAAAAACATGAAAAAAGTTGTCAGACACCCTAGAAACCACTACACTTCAAAGCACTTCTTATATGAGGGCTAAATAAGAAAAATAATAAAAACAAAAATAAAAAAATACATGTTTAAATTTCAGAATGTGTGTGCAATAGTGATTTTAGAACATAACTGTATACCTGAAAAGCAAAATGCAAATCTAATGGACTGCAGGTGACATTCAGCCTGGCACAAAAGGATGATACATGGTCTTCTACACCACTTAACCCTCCTGGTATCAGCACTAGGTGGAGATGGGCAGAGAGACTCGACATAAAGCCTCAGAACAAGATGGCCTGAAGTGGATTATTTAAGGCAAGCTTTGGGAGAGAACAATGAAAATGCACGTATGCAGTTCCAGGGGACGAGAACCTCACATAGGGTGTAAAAGTTGTAACCATTGTTTCAGATCATAAACTGAAAGAGGGGTTTTTCCAATTTCCCACTTAGTTTCCAGTCCAAAGCCTCTTTACTATGGCTGCATATATGGCAGGGCAGAATTTCACTTTACTGACCATGTAACTATCAGCATGTCTTCACTGACACTAAAATTAATTTTATTCTCTGTTGAAAATGCAATAATTCATTATTTAAATGCATATTTATTTATTTTTACAGTAGAAATTATTCACAGGACAAAATTTACTCACATTAAAGAAAGACTGAATCACTTTGATACCTAGTAATGAACAAAGAACCCCAACAGGGTTCCTTCCTGTTGAGCATAACTTGAACGTATACTACTCTATCAGTCAGAGACTTAGAGTACATTCAGCCTCATTTTGGTACTCATGCTACAGTTTTTAACAAGTATCCATTTCCAGGGTTTGTTTATTTTTAAAAGGAATTTCATCAAAATATTTTTCTTATTTTTTCATGCTGGGATATGAATTGACCTGGCTTAAATTCAATTGTTAGCAATCAGTGTGCCAAGTACTCCCCCAGAGAGAAGACTAAAATACAGACTGAAAAACAATGTGTCACTTACCTTCCCATTTTTAGGCTGCCAGGCAAGCCTACACATGGATTTAGCATTTATCACATCGTTACACTTCTGAAGCAGTGGCCAACTTGTCACGCATGTCTGAAAACAGAATACTTAGATACTAGGTTCTCTAGAATTGCAAAAATCTCTCTGTATTGCAAATAAAAAAGACTTAAAAGTGAAGCGTAGTGAAAAGATGTAATTAGACTAGAATTGTGGAAATGATGTAATATCGCTCACCCAATATTATACAGAGTCTATCTTATTATTACAGGCAGTCCCCGGGTTACCTACAAGATAGGGACTGTAGGTTTGTTCTTAAGTTGAATTTGTATGTAAGTCGGAACTGGTACATATTGTAGGGGAAACTCTAGACAAACATTTCTCCAGAGCTCAGTTCTATTCTCCCACACCTCACTTCCCTCAGTCCTTTATTCTCAAGCTGAGGTGTCTGCTGAGAAAAACTGCTCCGCGTCTCCCTGGTCTGCTGTGGGGGGCGCTAGCTTCGCATCTCCCTGGTCTGCTGGGGGGAAACAGCTAGTGCGGGGTTGTCTCACCCCGTTTGTAAGTAGGAATCCGATTTAGTCGGATCCATGTAACCCGGGGACTGCCTGTATAAAAAATCATTTCCAGGTTTTATAACTTAGTGAAAATTAGGGATGTAATTTGCTGGCTCTACATTATAAAGCCTAAAATAAGCTTTATACTGCAGAACCCATAGCGAAGCCTCAGCAAGCCACCTCCCCAGGATCACAAGATTCCAAAGTGGGAATGCTTTATGCTCAGTTCAGACTTTTCTCACCTTGAGTGGAAAAGTACAAGCTCCAAAATGGGTTTCAGAATCCGGTGGCTTGGTCACATGTCTTTCTACAACCAGCCAGTTTGGGTTTACAAAAGACAAACAAGACTATTCACAGGTCATTGACTTGATCACCAAGTCATTACATGTCAGGAGCATCAGTAATGGCCCTCATTAGCACATTTAGAATTATAAACAGCTCCACACTTCATATTTCTAACTTCAAATACAAGAATGATACATGCACAAAAATAGGATATACACATTTAGCAGATTGTAACTTAAAAATTGATATGTTACATGAGGCATTTTGTCTAAAGAAGCTTCAGTTACACATATTTATAAGTTTCAGCGGGGTAGCCAAGTTAGTTTGTAACTGGAAAAACGTAAAGAACAATGAATAGTCTTGCAGCACCTTAGAGACTAACAATCTGAAGTAGATCATGCCCACGAAAGCTCATGATACCATCTACAATTCTACATGTTTCGCTAGTCTCTAAGGTGCTGCAAGACTATTTGTTGTTTTTTAAGTTTCTACATATTCATAAGACAATTTTCATAAAGCATGGGAAGGCATGACACAGCCCATGTATAGTAATTCCTATTTGGAGTCCCACCCTAGAGTTAACAGGACTCAAGCAGGGTTTTAGACACAACTATGCAAGAATGAGCTCTACCGTGTAAAATTAAATTATGAGCTTTTGTTAGCAGTAAACCTGCAAATTATTTATTTCATCTGAATTAGGATTTTTAAAATGTTCATCTTTTCCATGCATTGCTAATAAACCAATCATAACACACCAAAACAAAAAGTGCATTTTAGTTAAGAACTTTCTTTTGTAAAATACACACAGTAAAATCTAAGGTTTAACACCAAAAATTGGCATTTTACCTGATCTGAGATTTTCCATATTCTGACAGACCCATCACAGCTTGCTGATGTCTGTATACGATAGAGTATTTTTTAAAATGTCATTAACAATTCATAGTAGAAGTAGAAAAAGTCATGCTGCAATTAGAAGTATAAAAGGTGTGCAGCCAGCAATAGACATATATTATCTGAAAAGTCTTTATACTCACAATAAATGCTATGATTTATATTTTATATTAAATAATATATATATCATCGTTTGAAAATATATGAAACCCTGACTTTTTCCAAAGCTGCTGTATTTACATCTTCTTCACAATGACATACTTGAAATGAGATATAATTCTTTTAAATCAATATTTTGTTTTAAATTATGTTAGTGGATCATCTTCTTCCCTGAGTAGTAAGCACAATATTAAAAAATTCACATTGAGGATGCACACGTAGGGAAGTACAGCTAAGCTTACTGGACACAGTTTGATATTCACTTGACACTTTTGATAAGCTGTACTCAGTAGAGACAACTGAAATAAAAACAATGTCCTCTGTGCCTGTGGATCATTCTATGATTTTTAAGATCCCAAAAGAAACAAAATATAAATGGCTGGAGGAAAAAAGTAATACAAAGTAGAAAGTGACAGAAAAATGTTTTACCAGAAAAGCATCTTGGGGATCAAAAGACAGACTTAAGACAGGGGCATCATGTCCTCGGAATGTTTTCTGTTGGCTGCTATCAGTCACCTCCACAACTTTGATCATAAAATCACTGCACATGAAAGCAATGTACTTAATTAACCAGATTACATTAACACTGACAGGCAGGCCTTTGTTCTCCTTTAATTGAAGTAAATGTGAGTTCTCCGTTATTGATTGGTTGGGGGATAGGTGTGATTAAAAAACACCCTATCACTGAAGATTTTATGTGAAAAGCGAAGTCTTGCCATTTACTGCAATGGGAACAGGAACAGGCCATCAAAATCAGAATGCAACAATTCCACCTTCCAAATTAAAGAGGAAATGGGATGCTTTAATAAGAAATCATATAATACATGACACATATATAATATGTAATTTTAGACTAATATCACATAAATCTATATTTTGGCTCTTAAAAAGTAGATATTTATATAGATAGATATTTAGGTTTGGATATAGATATACTTTTTTTTAATCAGTACCACAATTAACTTACCTTGCTAAATAGCTGCTACATATGCATACTAAGCTTGTTTGATAAAAAATCTTTATGAAAACTTTAATATTTAATGTAAACAATGCATTGGCTAATTTTCAAATATTTGATTTTTTGTAATACTATGACCCAACCTACTCCATTATTAAGAATATTATAAACTTTTAAGCTATACTAGGCCCTACAATAGGATGTTGACCCAGCACCCTCCTGTACACTTGTAAAATGTAAATAATACTTCAACTGATGTTTCAGATGTAAGAAAAAAGCATAACATTAGTTATAGACATTTGAGTCTCAAATTCAGTTTGGAATACATTTTTATGGTATGAACCACTTGAAACAGGATTAGAATGCACTTCCCTAATCCACCTCAGTCCCTAGAAAAATCATGGAGCAGGTCCTCAAGGAACCCATTTTGACATACCTGGAGGCTAAGAAGGTGATCAGCAACAATGAACATGGATTCACCAAGGGCAAATCATGCCTGACCAATCTAATCAACATCTATGAGAAGATAACTGGCTCTGTGGCTATGGGGAAAGTCAAGGAAGTGATATAGCTTAACTTTAGCAAAGCTTCTTATATGGTCTCCCACAGTATTCTTGCCAGCAAATTAAAGAAATATGGCTTTAATTAATGTATTATATGGTGGACAGAAAGCTGACTTGATTGTCAAGCTCAACGGATAGTGATACATGGCTTGAGGACTATTTGGCTGGACTGTAAAGGTTTTATTCAACATAAAACCATAAAATACTTGAACTAGAAGGGAACTCCAGAGATTATCAAATCCAGTCTCCTGCCATTGCGGCAAGACCTAGCACCAACTCAGTCATCCCTGATAGATGTCTATCCAACCTGCTTTTAAATATCACCAGTGATGGAGATTCCACAACCTCCCTAGGCAATTTATTCCAGTATTTAACCACCTTGACAGTGAGGAAATTTTTTCCTGATGTCCAACCTAAACCTCCCTTGCAACAATTTAAGCCCATTGCTTCCTGTCCTATCAGAGGCCAAGGAAAATAATGTTTCTCCCTCCTCCTTGTAGATGCTTAAAACTGCTATCATGTCCCCTCTCAGTCTTCTCTCTTCTAAGTTAAACAAGCCCATTTCTTTCAGTCTTCCCTCCTGGCTCATATTTTCTAGGCCTTGAATCATTTTCATTGCTCCTCATTTTTGTTGTTCTCTTTAACATCTTCATTAATGATCTGGATGATAAGATAGACTGCGCCCCCAGCAAGTTCGTGAGTGACATTAAACTGGGAGAAGGAGGTAGATATGGAGAGTAGGAACTACGTCCATAGTGACCTAAACAAATTGGAGGACTAAGCCAAAAGATATCTGATGAGGTTCAACAAAGACAAGTGCAGATTCCTACACTTAGGGTTGAAGAATCTCATGCACTGCTATAAGCTAAGGACTGACTGGCTAAGCAGTTCTGCAGAAAAGGACCTAGTGATTCCAGTGTACAAGAAGCTGGATGTAGTCAACAGTGTGCCCTTGCAGCCAAAAAGGCTAATGGCATATTGGGCTGCATTAGTAGGTTTACTGCCAGCAGATCAAGGGAAGTGATTATTCTGTTCTATTCAGCACCGAAGAGGCCACATCTGGAGTACTGCATACAGTTTCTCTCCACCCCCACCACATAAAGAATGTGGACTAATTAGAGAGTCCAGCGGAGGGTTACAAAAATGATTAGGGGTCAGAGGTACATGACTTATGAAAAGAGGCTTAGGGAATTGGGCTTATTTAGTCTGCAGAAAAGAAGTGGTGGGGAGGGAATTTGATAGCATCCTTCAACTACCTGAAGGGGGATCCAAAAAGGATGGAGCTAGGCTATTCTCAATAGTGGCAAATTACATAACAAGAAGCAGTGGTCTCAAGTTGTAGTGGGAGAGGTCTAGGTTGGATATTAGGGGCAACCATTTCACTCGAGTATGGTGAAGCACTGGAATGGGTAGCCTAGGGCAAGGGTGAAATCTCCATCCTAGAGGTTTTTAAGTCCTAGTTTGACAAAGCCCTGGCTAGAACAATTTAGTTGGGGTTGATCCTGCTTTGGGCAGGGGGTTGGACTAGATGACCTCCTGAGGTCTCTTCCAATCCTAGTCTTCTATTATTACGTTGTTAATGTTCCAAATGTTGTGTAGCTATTGGTTGTCCTGAATCAAAATCAAATTACCTGGATCCAGCAGCAATCTTTGTACCATCCCTGTTAAAGACAACATGGTTTGCATTTGTGGTAAAACGAGTCAGGATGCCATCAGGAGATCCTTCCGGGAATGTATGAATCTGGACAGTGTTGTTAGAAACTGCAGTAAGCAGTCTTCCATTCTACAAATGAAACAAATACATTCTGGAATTGGTGGTTCAAAGAAAAATACTTTGGTCCAAAGAACGGAAAATCACTGTGATCTTTTTCATATTTCCACAGATAATCTTGAATGATTCCAGATAAGCTTCTGGTTTTAAAAATAAACAGCATCAGAGAAATTTTCCTTCCAACTGTATTTCTTCCTCTTCTCTCAACCACCACAAAAACAAAAAAACAAAACAAAAATTTAACAGAAACCAAGGAGAAAATCTTCAACTACCAAATTCAACTCTCCACAATTTTAATTTGATTTCGCTGTCTTCCGTAAGCCCATGGTTCTTAACCAGGAGTACGCATTCCCCTCAGGATACACAGAGGTCTTCATGAGGCACATCGATTCCTCTAGAAACGTGGTGCTCAACACATGGCTATTTGGCCAGCTGAGTGGCTTCAGAACTGGCTGGACACCACAACTCTAGACATTTGCCTAGTTTTATAACAGGCTACATAAAATGCTCTAGCAAAGTCAGTACAAACTTCAGTAATAGTGCATGATGACTCACCAGGCATTGCCCGGGTCCTTCAGGGTAAGGCATTGGGGGATGTGGGTGGAGGAGGATGTGTGTGTGCAAGAGTAAGGATTGGGGAGTGAGGAGGAGCTTGGGGAGGGTCTTATATTACTGTGTACAGATGTGGTCGCCTCATCTCAAAAAATATATATTGGCATTGGAAAAGGTTCAGAAAAGGACAACAAAAATGATGAGGGGTTTGGAACGGGTCCCATATGAAGAGAGATTAAAAAGACTGGGACTTTTCAGCTTAGAAAAGAGACTAAGGGGGGATACGATAAGAGCCCTATAAAATCATGACTGATGTGGAAAAAGTATAAGGAAAAGTTATTTACTTGTTCCCATAATATAAGAACTAGGGGTTGCTAAATGAAATTAATAAATAGCAGGTTTAAAACAAAAGGAAGTTTTTCTTCACACAATGCACAGTGAACCTGTGGAACTCCTTTCCAGAGGATGTTGTGAAGACTACGACTAAAGCAGGGTTCAAGAAAGAGCTAGATACATTCATAGAGGTTAGGTCCATCAGTGGCTATTAGCCAGAATGGGTAGGAATGGCATCCCTAGCCTCTGTCTGAAAATGAATGACAGGAGAGGGATCACATGAGGATTACCTGTTGTGTTCACTCCTTCTGGGGCATCTGGCATTGGCCACTGTTGGCAGACAGGATACTGGACTAGATGGACCTTTGGTCTAATCCAGTATGGCCATTCTTATAGTCCATCAGGGCCCTCTTTTCTTTCCCCCCTCTGAAGCCCCCTCCAAGAGCCAAAGGCTTATTCTCTTCCCCGACCACCTCCCCCCACCAGCTGCCAACAGTCTGTTTTCTTTCCTCCATCCCCTTCCCAGCCCTCCAGGGGCCTGTTTTCTCTCCCTACACCTGGACCACCCCCCTAACCCTCCAAGGGCCTGAATTATTTCCCCCGGGGCTGCCCCCAGCCTGCCAGAGGCCCTTTTTCTCTCCCTCCCCTCGCCCAGCACTGCAGCCAAGGGCTGGGAGGGGAGAAAGGGTTTGGGGAGGGGCACTACTTAGGTGTGCTAGCAGGCTCAATGGCAGAGTCTGAGTCCTGCTGGCTGCTCCCAGTGGACATTCTGTAGGATAGCTCGCCCCTGTGGACTCATTGCTCCCAGTAGCCACACTCATATTATATCCCTCCAAACAGCAGACCCTCCCTTTGAATGTTATGGAAAACTGTCCTTTTCTCAGGGCTTCCAGTTGTCCTGGCACAATCAGTCCCTGACCTTACTTTAAGTTAGGAGAAGAGGAAACTGCATATCAAAGACAGTGGTTCTAGCTCTTACTGTTTAGGAGTTCTTGAACAAATGAACTTGCAGACAGACGGACACACTCTAAAATACATACAAGGGAAGTGAATACAAATCAGACTCCTGAAAGGGATACAGTAGCCTCAAAAGGTTGAAAACCACTGCCGTAAAATAGCTAAACAAGTTATTCCTGTAGGACCTAATCCTGTAAAGATGCTTAAATGTATGCTCTGTGAGCAGCACTACTGGCTTCAGTGGAACCACTCATAATGCATAGGTAAGCAAGTGAATAGGTCTTTGCAGGACTAGTGCCTTACAGCTTTGTGTCTTTACTAAAATTGTGAGCATAAGTCAAGAAATGGCACTAATGAGCTCTAACGAGATCTATCCAATCCTCTGCACCTGAAAGAAGGGGATTATGAGGCCTTAACTGTGGTGAGCATGAAGCAGGAAAACAAGGAGGAATTCTAGTGTTTTGATAGAGAAGCAAGAGTTCACTTCCCACCAGAAAAAAGTGTAATCAAAATATATTTAGTTTTTATGTGCCATGTTATCATGAGAGGGCACCCTTGTCCCAAATTTCACAGATTAAATGCCATTAAGGAAAGCCTGAAGATTTTTCAGACATAGTTTAACAAATGGACAGTTTGCAGAAATAAAAAACAAAAGACCATCACATTAATCTTGCCAATATTTCCTATTCAGAATGATTCCAAATTAATATAGGATAAATTGCCATAGCAAATTTTATGGCACTCTTTTATGTTTACAGAGATAATCTATTGTTAAGGAAAAATATATCATCACTCTTTGCGTATGTATGGCAGCAGGTTCAACAAATAATGTAACATAACATACATAATTACAGCTGTCATGCATATTTTCCTCCAAAAGCAGAATTACCGTATTTTCAGGCATATAAGACGACTTTTTATACTAAAAAACATCCCCCAAAAATCGGGGGTCGTCTTATACGCCGGGTATAAACATACTGTAGCTTCGGCTACATACAGAACGTCCCTATTATTACCTTTTAGCCCGCTGGATGTGCGGTAATACAGTACTGTAGCTTCGGCTACATACAGAACGTCCCTATTATTACCTTTTAGCCCGCTGGATGTGCGGTAATACAGTACTGTAGCTTCGGCTACATACAGAACGTCCCTATTATTACCTTTTAGCCCGCTGGATGGCCAATCCGAGCAGGCTTTGTATGCATTAACAGAATACATCACTTGCCGGGATTGGCTCAGCGCAGTACATACAGTATCAGCACAGGGACGTTCTGTATGTAGCCGAAGCTACAGTACTGTATTACCGCACATCCAGCGGCCTAAAAGATTAGGGACTTTCTGTAAGTGGGTGTACAACAAATGGCTGGTAGAAAAGACCCCATCATGGCTCCAGCAAGAAGAAGGAAATTGCCTCGGAAGGGGGGGTAGTCTTATACGGCGAGTATAGGCCAAAACCTATGGTTTAACTGGAAAATTAGGGGGTCGTCTTATACGCCCAGTCGCCTTATACGCCGGAAAATACGGTACATAAAGTTTATGTTCACGAATATAAATATTACACATATATATTTATGTAACAACATTCAGACTATAATCTAATGTGTTAAAAGATATCAAGTTGTACTGTACTAATTCAGACCTACTTCAAGGGAAAACCGTTTTTATTTATGAATGAATGAAGAAAAAATAATTTTTAAAAACAGAATTACTGGCATTAAATCTTTGAAAATGTTTTTAACACTCATACTAAGAAACAAAGATATACATCTTTGAAAGCAGTGGGCTAACTAATCTGCAAAAATAAAATGAGTATTCCTCAAAATTTTCTTGTGAATTTTTCAAGTTTTTGCTATGTTCAAATATAGCCTTTTTTGAAGTATACACATCAATAATTATTTATTCATTCCCCCCCAAAAAAGTTATCAAAATTTGAAGCATGGAGAGGTGGAGCGGCTTTTCTCAGCAGACACTTCAGCTTGAGAATAAAGGGCTGAGGGAAGTGAGGTGTGGGAGAATAAAACTGAGCTCTGGAGAAATGTTTGGCTAGAGTTTCCCCTACAATATGTACCAGTTCCGACTTACATACAAATTCAACTTAAGAACAAACCTACAGTCCCTATCTTGTACGTAACCCGGGGACTGCCTGTACTATAATTGCCAAATTGTATGCCACAAATTAGGGGTGTGAACATATAACCAGTTAACCAGTAAGCATCACCCTTAACTGGTGGAAATCAGCAGTCTTACTAGACAGTTTGAGAGAAGGGGGCAAAGCAGCAGCAGGGAAGGAGGGCGTGCCTTCTGTCCTGCGTGAGGCTACCCACATGGCCTGGGAGCTGGCAGTCTAGCCTGCCCATTCCAGCCTGGGCTTGGTGGCAAAAGGGAGCCACTCCCACCCAGTGGGCTGGAATGCCCAGCACCGTTTAATCAGTTAACCTGTTAAACTTAACATTTAACTTGTTAACTAATTAAATGGGATTACACCCTTGCCACAAACACTGTTTCCAACTTGAAGATTAACTACAAACTCCTGGGATCATTCTCTCATCTTCAAAAGATGCTGTAAAATGAGAGAACATTTAAGATCTTATACAACAAACAAACACCAAAGTATTTATATAATACTTTTTCATGTAGCATAGAATAGCTTCAAAGGAATTACTATGAAAATTCTCTCAAGACAAATGAGTTACATTTTCAAAAGCTGTATTATGATGTACAGTTGACACGTTACGAGAACAGATGTAAGACATCTTTATTTTAATTATATCCAAATAATCATTCCATCCATATTTATAAAAACGTGAACTTCCTTCATGATGGATAGATATATTAGGCACTTCAATGCCTGAGCAGATTACCAGTTTACTGGATTGCTAAAATAGGTTCTAATCGGCACTCCCACAAACTACTATCATTTGCAGTGGAATAAAGATTCAAGATTCAATTTCTATCTTAGCTTTGAAAAGGTCAGAGAATCATCTTTTGGGTAGCCAAAAATCCTTAAAGCCAGACACCCACAGGTTAACAAGGGCAAAGCTTTCAGCACCACTAGGAAATAAGTTCTGTAATGTAATTTTTGATCCAGATGGTCAATCAACCACTATAAAGTCTGAGAGTGTGAGCATCATCATTAAATTACACTGTATATCCATGGTGTCCAATCAGTTCTGAAGCAGTAGCCTCTATAGTGGCTACTGCTATAGTGAACTAGCCATGTTATTCTGAAATAATGACTAACTAACTGTTCAAGCCAACTAGCCACACTCAACCGGCCAAATAGCCACATGTGGCTAATGGCTAGCGTGTTGTATACCACGGCTGTATATTAAAAATAAAAATAATTTGCTGCTTCCGTTTCTCTAAGGGAATTTAAAATCAGGATGTAAATATACCCTGATGTGAAGAAGAGATAGATATGTACATTAGAGAAACTCAGCATGAGGAAAACTTCAGTATTTCTTTAACCCACTGAATGGGGTAAAGATAAATAGTCAAATCAATAAACTCTAAAGCATTTTAAAGTTCTTGAATGATTTAGCTAAATCATAAACCAGACAGACTTGTTAGCCAATTAGAGGTTTCTAGTGACTCAACATTAATCTCTCTTTTGGGAACAGATGTCAGTAGATGTGGGGGGAAAATGATATTTAAAGTAAATTGATGTATTTTAATTGCTTTAATACCTTAGCCTAAATACATTGGTGGAGTGCAGTCACTTGCACAAACTGCAAACTACTCTAAGGTAAAGAAATAATAGAAAGAATAGTAAGACATCAATATGGCTCCATCAGGAGTTCTTTGATGACCTAAAAATCAAAAATGAATCCTATAAAAAGTGGAAACATGGATTAATTGTTAAGGAGAACAAAAGAAAAGCAAAAGCACGCAGGGGGCAAAACCAGAAAGTCTAAAGCACAAAATGAGTTACACCTACCAAAGGGTACAAAAGGCAAAAGTGATTCTTCAAATACATTAGGAGCAAAAGACAGACAAAGAGAAGCATAGGTTTTCTACTTAGCCGGGAAGGAGAGCTAATAGGTGACAACATCAAGAAGGCTGAGATGTTTCATGCCTATTTTGATTCAGTCTTCACTAAAAAGATTAATGGTGACCAGATACTCAACACAATTAATGTAAATACAAAGGGGAAGGAATGCAAGCCAAAACAGGAAAATAGGTTAAAGAATAATTAGGTAAGTTAAACGTATTAAAGTCTTCAGAGCCTAATTAAATTCATCCTAGGATAACTGGGGAACTAACTGAAGTAATCTTGGAACCATTAGCAATTATCTTTGACAACTCATACAGCACAAGTGAGGTCCCACCAGACTGGAGAAGGACAAACATAACACCTATCTTTAAAAAAGGAGAACAAGGAGAATCCAGAGAACTATAGACCAGTCAGCCTAAATTTGATACCTGGAGAGATATCGGAACAAATGATTAAATAACCAATTTGTAGGCACTTGGAGAATAATAGGGTTGTAAAGCATAGCCGGCACGGATTTGTCAAAAACAAATCATTCCAAACCAACCTAATTTCTTTGACAATCTTACTGGCCTAGAAAATGGAGGGAAATAGTAGACATGAGATATCTTGATTTCAGTAAGACGTATGATACAGTCCCACGTGACATTCTCCTAAGCAAACTAAGGAAATGTGCTCTAGATTAAATTACTGTAAGATGTATACACAATTGGTTGAAATACCATATTCAAGGAGTAGTTCTCAATGGTCCTCTGTCAAACTGTGAGGGTGTATTGAGTGGGATTCTCCAGGAATCAGTACACAATCTAGTATTATTCAATATTTTCATTAATAACGTGGATGATGGAATGGAGAGGATGCTTATAAAATTTGCAGATGAAATCCAAGCTGGAATGGGTTGCAAATACACTGGAAGATAGGATTACAATCTAAAGTTATCTTGACAAGTTAGAAAATTGGTCTGAAATCAACAAGATGAAATTTAATAAAGACAAAGCAATTCACTTAGCAAAGAAAAATTAAAATGTGCAACTACATAATGGGAAGTTAATAACAAGGTAGTAGGCACCGATGACAAGAATCTGAGAATTACTGTAGATCACAAATTGCACAACAAAGTGAAGCAAATGCAAAAAAGGCTAATATTCTGCTGTTCCTTTATGAGTGTCATGTGTAAGACAGAAAGTAATTACTCTACTCAGCATAGGTGAGGACTCATCTGGAGCAGCATGTTCAATTCTGGGCATCAGACTTCAAAAAAGATATGGACAAATTGAAGAGAGTCCAGAGGACAGCAACAAAAATAATAAAAGATTAACAAAATCTGATCTAAGGAAACACTAAAAAACAGGCATAGTTAGTCTTAAAAAAAAACTGAGGGGGGAACCTGGTAACAGTCTTCAAATATGCTAAGGGCTGTTAGAAAGAGAAAGGGGTATCAATTGTTCGTGCCCACTGAAGGTAGGACAAGAAGTAAAGGGCTTCATCTGCAACAATAAAGATTTAGTTTAGATGTTAGGAGAAACTTTCTAATTATAAGGGTAGCTAAGCTCTAGAATATGCTTCAAAGAGAGGCTGTGGAATCCCCATCACTGCAGGTTTTTAAGAACAGATTGGACACACATCAGTCAGGGATGGTCTAGGTTTACTTGGTATTGCCACAGTGTAGGGCAGGACTGAGCAAGACGTGGCCCGAGGGACAAATCCAGCCCGCCTAACACTTTGATCCGGCCTGCAGACTGCCTCTGGCCACTTTCTATTTATACCCTGCTGCTAGTGCCAACAATTTTCCAGCAGGATCCTAAGTAAATGGCTTATGGCTCATGGTCAGGGGCTGGAGCCACAAGCCCCTTAAATAGCTGCAGCAACCACAGGTGACTTCCAGGCAACGTGGTAGTAGAGGGACTAAGAACCATTGCTGCTATATAAAGGGCTCGCAGCTCCTGACACCACCACTACCCCATTGTCTGGCCGGCACCTGGGTTGCTGCCACTATTTAAAGGGCTCGTGGTTCCAGCCCCTGCCAGAGCAGTGTTATGACCAGGAGCCCTTTAAATAGCTGCAGCATCCACAGGCGGTTCCCAGGCAACAAGGTAGAGGTGAGGCCAGGAGCTGCATGCCCTTTGCTGTTTTTACTTCAAAGTCTTTGGACAACTCTGGAGGGAGGCTAGTCCCAACCCGACCCCTTGCAGGGATAAAGCTGGCCTGTGACCAGTACCATAATTCATTAAGTGACCCCCCCAGCAAAAATTATTGCCCACCCCTGGATTAGGAGTATGTTTTGATATCACAAGGTCCCTTCCATTCCTGCATTTCTATAATAAAGACAGATCCCTTTTACTCTCATGTAAGACGTGTCTGTGAAAAAATTAAGAAAATTAGCTTTCAACAAATACACTAGCATTTATGTAAGAGAGTGCAATGAGTTATATGTGTAACATTAAATCAAGTTATTCCCGTGGTCCCCAACCCAGTGCCCACGGGCGCCATGGCGCCCGCCGGGCCCTTTACATGCACCCGCAGAGCAATCTGGGCTGGCCCCGCCCCCGGGAGTGCGGCAGGTGCCAGCCCCGGGCGCATGGCCGGCTCCGCTCCCGGGTGCGCCGCGCATGCCGGTGCCAACCCTGACCCCCGCCCCC